GAGGGAGATCTACACGTTGAGTGTAATCATGCTCGTCATCCCAGGGTTCCAGAAGCGATGACCTCCTGTGTGGTGTAACTGCTGTTCGCAACTCAGCAAGGCTGACAGCAGTTGACATGTTTAGCACAGTCACCACACCTCGGCTGCAGTTTCCAGCGTCAGACGACATTACCTCAGTGTGTATGAGGAGGCACTTATAAGCATAAGCGGCTCTGAACTGGCAGGCTGTGAGGTTGTTGTATCCTCCCTTTCCTTTCACACAACCAAAAAAGGTTTCTAAATGATCTTGTGTGTCAAGAGGTATGTCATTTTCTTCGTGGCCACAAATGCATCGAAAAGGGCATTGACACTTTGCATGCAAGTGATAAGGCCAATGAACCCCGTTTTCTTGAGTCCATCTATGACTGGTTGTTGACTTACATCCGTCAGCCCCCTAATGTACTCTTCGGTTTCGCGGAAGAATGATTTCCAAGAAGTGGCAGTCTGTTGCTGCAGTGGGGCTTTTAATGATCGCGCCAGAGGGTTCCTCGAGTTTAGAATGTCGAAGAGGCGATTAAAGATTCGAATGAACTCCGCTGTGGCATGGGCACCTTGAAATTCGGAGAGCTTTAGTTTAGAATCGCAAAAGTCGAGTGTATCAGACAACATATGAACTTTCATTTTTTATTTTGGCCATTCCAGATGGACTTTAGTCAACTTGTTTCCGAGGTGCAACTCCTCTTTTTGTTGCAAGGCCTCAAGAGCTTCAATGTACGACCACTTGACTTTGCGCCCTTGAATATCAGTGATATGGCTTACTGATCCCAAGCAGTTACGTACAAGCTTTATCATGTGGCAAGCATCCAGAATCACGAATACTTTGTTTGGGCAATCTTCTGAGCACTGGAATGAGGGATTAAATCCCGGTGAACGGCAGCGAAGATCAGCCCCAAGAAAACTGGCCATAGAAAAGTTTGAGGCCGTTCCATCAAAAGTAAGTGATGCTGCTACGACGCCTATTGAAGTCACGCGCGAAATACACTCTTTTGTCAGCTGTGCTCTTTCGGAACAAAAGAGAGAATCAACGAAAAAAATACCCAAGGGGCACCTTCAGCCTCATATTCGGTGCCACCAGCATAAAAACACAAGCATTCGTTTCTTCGGGAAGGCTGTCATCTGCGATATCCATGCCAAGGTCAACATATCCGAAAACCTTATTGCCCACAAGTTGAACATGTTTTTTAATAGACATGTCGTCAACCATTATGTCAGCAATCAGTGGCTCTTCTCTTGCTTTTACTATGTTCTTGATAAACTCAAATGATTCAGAGGTGAAGCCCGAATCACCATTCACCGTTTTGTACCATTCCCGAAGAGTGCGCTGGTTTGGCAGAGTGTTGTTGAACTTCGCTCGCACATAATCATAAAGTAGTAGTGCAGCGTCAGCGCAAATGCTCTTAATTCTGGGGTATTTGTTCGTCTTTTCGTTGACTTGTTTGAGAAGCTGCTGAATATCGGGAGAAAATTATGCTTGGAATACTTCCAATCCTTTCTCCGATAAAAGGTTCTGCTCCTTCGGTTGGTAGATCGAATTCTTAGAAGTATCAATGCGTTTCGAAAGTCTTCGTTTGTTCTGCTTCAGTGTCTTGATCTTCTTTTTCATCTATTGTACCTCGTTCGCCGATACACGCACTTTCTGCTTGTACTAATCCTTCGTGGGCGAAGATTGCAGCGTGGAGACTTCGGCAGCTTTATCAGTGATGGGTGCTTCAGGCGAAGGCATTTCCCAATTTTTCGGAGGAGCTCGTTTTCTTTTTTCCTACGTAAGGAGAGGCGTATTGCAAATGCGTAAGAAATTTTGTTATTTGAAGCGCCGTGTGCACGTGTCACAGGTCCCGTTAGTTAGAGAGGCGATGGCCGGGATAATTCCAAAGACGGAAATATCGGCCCCCGAACTGCACCACGAAAGCGTAGACAATTTAAAAGTGGTCCTATTTATTGCGCCAGCGGATGCCGGCTGTGGCCCAAAAAACAAGTCAGAGCCGAGAGTTGATAAACAAAACAATATTACATTCTCAATTATGGCAGATCAAATCGATACAAGAATATGCACACTCGACAATAGTTGAATACCATATGTCACCAATCAAACATCGTACTACACAGTACAATCAGCCACACTCGAAACAACGGACACAAACAACAATACGCACTACAATGCAGTCACATGCATCGAACAACCAAGACACTTAAACGCTAAAGAGTTTGAAAACTTATTCAGTCCAAAGTCCTTGGAACAAAAGTCTGAATTGTAGTAACTAGCCCAGAGTGACCGAGCCGGACTGAGGATCAACGCAGAATGCCTTCATTTTGCAGACGAATAAGTATATATATAGGCGGCTTGCCTATGACGTAACACAAGTGGATGACGTTGAACGCGTTTTGACACTGCACTTCTTATCACTTCTCCCTTTCTTTTAAAGATTGAGTCTTTGCAAGGGCCTTCGTAGTCGGGTAGACCTACTTAAAACTTGAGGAGTTGTGGAAGCAGCCACAGCTGGAAGAGATGTTTGTGGCGTTGCCGAAGGAACGGGAACAGCGTTCATGCGGGCTGGAGTGACCGGGCTTAATAGCTGCTCCCGTGGTGACGCTTTCTGCTCCGCGTTGTCACGGCTGGGCGGTACCTATTCAGAAGTGTCCGCCTTTGGAGCCCTGGGTGACATTCGCGGACGAATCTGGTCTAAAGCCTAGTTCACACTGAAGCATCCGCTTTTTACAGCGACCGAAATTATCCTGCCGCCGAAACGCAGCGTTGTTCGCACCGGATGCGCCCCACGCCGCCGCATTCGCCTAATATAGCCATAGCCTGCCATCTGCTGAGTGAACAATAAACTACAGGGCGAGCGGGGAACGGATCAGCTGTTCCCCGGATGTTGTCAGTGGCTTGCAACACCAGTGCGCCCGTGACGAGTTCGATCTTTTTTTTGCGCGGTTGAACTCTTATCTTAAGCCGCTATGCTGTCAAGTGAGCTCTTCTGGCAAGCTGCAGCCTTGCGATGCATGAAGAAGAGGAAAAAACGTTGCTGAAGCATCGATGACGCCAGCGACGTTGGTGGGTCCGGCCTGCTTTGCAGGAACGTGCCAACCTTGGTCAGGCCAACAAACTGCTACCACTTCTACAAGATCGAAACGTAAAGTTTTACCGAGAGCGAGTTCAACTCTGATTACAACGTTCGCTTAGGTGCCCTTGGGTGCATAGGTGTTTTGTAGCGCTTCACGCAGTGTCATTTGTATCTCCGTAGATACATCAGGATGCCTCCACGTATTTTCGACACGCTGTTGCACCTTGGGAAACGTCATATTGAAAAAAAGGACACCAACTTCCGGAAGGCAATCAGTCCGGAGCACCGACTTGCACAAACTTTGAGGTAAGGTCGCCTTATGAATTGTCCAGAGCAGTCATTTGCTTAGGGTGGCTGTGAAATGTGAAGTAAGGAGCAAGCATTACACACTTTTCGCGTAGTTAGATGCCGCTAGCTTGGTACACGCATTGTTTACTATAGACTTTTTATTACGTAGTGTCAAAGGGTCATTGTTTATGTACGTGCATGCACTTCATGTCATTCAGTTTGTCTCGCTAATTAACAATAAGAACTAGTCGTAACTGCAAAAAAGCCACTCGACGAAATGTCATAAAGGAGGATGTTGTGAGTGACGTCCATTTTTTTAAATATGGACATTTTCTCATTACTTAAATCCTGCACCACCATGAAAACGTGCACTCTCCTTGCTTCTACATTTATTTCTTCTCAGATTCTTGGCTGCAGAGGAAACACTTCGTTGCTCATCTTTCGACTTTTTAAATGGTCGTTTGACAGCGTGCGATATTGTGTCGACAGTGTGCCAGGTGCTCTGGGATGTACTTGGTCCTATATACGTTGCCCGTCCATCAAATGCAGGCGAGTGGCTACAGGTAAAATTTACGTTATAAGTGCATGTTGCATACGTTGCACCTGGAGCATTTGGCTGGCCTGTTCAACGTCTACCTTAATTTTTGCTGTACAAACATGACTTGTGTGTTATTCCCACAAAAGCCGTTATAGATATTTTCATTCCATCAGATTGTAAAAGAGTTTGAGGAACGTTGGAACATGTCCCATTGTGCGGGTGCAATTGATGGAAAACACATCGCCATCGAATTCCCTGCCAAATCGGGAAGTGACGACTATAACTACAAACACTTCTTCAGTAAATCTATGCTTGCTGTCAGCGACGCCTGCTACAGGTACATGTTTATTTACTCTTGATGCAACAGAAAATAGAAAGTGGCAGTATGTGCATGTAAATGCACGTAAAATTGTGAAAAAGCAGTCCTGTAATTTTTAGCCTTTAAAAAGCTGGTGTTACATTTCAGGCTTTGTAGTTGCACGGCCGCTGGATGAAAAAGCTTCCAGCGGCCGTGGTAGTTGCATGGATGGTTGCCATCTATTTGTTTTTCCTCTGCGTGTAAACAATCATAAAAGACATACATGCTAGTGCTTGATAAAATAATGTTTTAACATCTTCAGGTTCATTTATGTGGAGATTGGGCACCATGGGAGCAATTCAGATGGTAGAGTATTCAGCGAAAGCCAACTGCCTGATATTATCTTTTCGAAGAATGAAGGATTTCCCCCTGATGCACCATTGGGGAACATTGGCCGCATTCCTTTCTACCTGGTAGGAGATGAAGCGTTTCCTTTGAAGACATACTTGATGTGGCCGTATTCTCGGAAAGGCAAGTTGCCCCTTTGATTTTTTTAGTACTGGAGTGCATTGCTCTATGCTATTAATCTGAGGCTGTTCAGTACACAGATTCACTGTAGTGTCAAGCAGCCGAAACATGATGCCATAACTAAACGCAGTGATTGGTTTACGTTAGAGGCACTAAAGCACTTCACCACATATTGGCGCTTCTCCTTGAAAGTACGTTTCTTTTCTCTGTGGAAGTATGTTTTTGATCAACTTTCATGAACATAAAACCAAAACATGGCACAATGTGTTCATTGATCATGTGCCTGTGTGTTCTGTGCTGCGTTACTGTGAAGCTCTATCAGGATGACGTGTTTTTCATGTAGGTGCAGGGATAACCATTTATGCAGGTCTTCAACCGTTCCTCGCTTCAACACCTGAAGAGGCATCTCAAGAAGAAAAAACCAACTGCGAACCTATCACCTTTGCGGAGGCACACAGCAAAAGGATTTTCAATTACCGCCTAAGCCGAGCCCGTCGAGTGACAGAAAATGCATTTGGCATAATGGCTCAAAGATGGCGTATCCTGCGGTGTTCTTTTAAAGTCAAAGATGATAATATCTGGCGAATTATCTCCGCATGTGTGGTCCTTCACAATTTCATGATGAAAGAGTCGGAGACATCTCGGTGCGCCTACTGTCCTCCAGGGACAGCTGATCAGGTTGACTGGCAGGGTAACATCACAGAAGGCAACTGGAGGGCTGATGACACCAGCAGTGCTGCTCTGCCATCTCTACCGAAGACTGGCTGCCACGCCACAAGGTAAAGATATTTTCATGTGGCAAGGTTCACGGTGGGCCTTAAATTGTAAGCCGTGCACAAGCATTAGCCAGAATAATAGCTCATCCATATGAGCGGCGTAATTTGCAGTGCTGTGGTATAGTGTATTTCCCTGTCTATAAATTTTTCTCCCAGGTTTGCTTACGAAATGCGGGACTTCCTGGCAAAGCACTTCATCACCAACGGCAAGGTGCCTTGGCAAGAAAGCAAGATAATGGACACAAGACTGTACAGTGGTGAGTGCACCATTTATTGTTATCATAACAGTCATGCAGAGAAACAACCTGATCCTCCTTGTGATGTCTATGATGAAACACTAAAACGGTTTTGTAAACGTAGACACAACTGCCACGATGTTTTGAAAAGTGTGCATTATGTTGCAGCACAAAACAGGAAAATACTGACTTCAAACAAAGATGAAAGCTAGAGGTGTTCTGCTGTGTGTCCTGAGGTCTGCTTTTTACAATTCACAATACACATCAAGCAACTTGCCCAACAGAATCAACTCAACTTACAAAGCTGCGACAAAACGCTTGCTACATACACTTTTCGTGCATATTGTTTTTCAACTATATGCATGAAAAGTGTATCACAAGACTAGACAATGACTGAGTGTGCGCGCGTATGCTGCCGAATGTGCTGTGTTTATCTCTCTTCCCTCTTTGCTCTATCTTTTATCTCCCCCATCCCCCTTTTATGCACAGGGTTACAAACCGGCTGCCTATAGGCTGGTTAACCTCCCTGCCGTTCTTTTCCTTAAAAAAAATCCTATTTTCCTTCCTTTCTTGTTTTTCAACTAGGGGAGATGCCACTTGAAAAGTAAAATTTGCATTTTCCTAAAATACAAATCTTTTCACTTGCTTTACCAAGTTTATTTTGTTACTCGGCTGCTGACCTGCAGGTCGCGGGTTCAAATCTCGGCTGCGGCGGCTGCATTTCCGATGGAGGCGGAAATGTTGTAGGCCCATGTACTCAGATTTGGGTGCACGTTAAAGAACCCCACGTAGTCAAAATTTCCGGAGCCCTCCACTACGGCGTCTCTCATAATCATATGGTGGTTTTGGGATGTTATATCCCACAAATCCAATCCAAGTTTTTGTGTACTTTCATGAAAAATAAATCAGTGTTGTAAAAAAGCAAGTATTAAGCTTAAGTCCAATTTTAAAGAACACTGCATGACTATTAAAACTAAAAAGAGGCTGATATCAATTGGGAATGGTCATCTGCCTACTTGTCGTTGGATTTCACGTAAGGAGTTCAGAAAAGTACATCAGCACATGGCAAATATGTCCCTTTATGTTTTGAAAGGGGGGTATTTATGCACTTTAACCCCTTTGACATTGACAGCTAATTGCCGAATTCGAGTTCAAGCCTTGCTTCACTGATCTTTTTTTGCATCACTTCTTGTATTGCTGTTATAGCATCTACCTGCTGGTGGAAGTTTAACAAGCGCAGCTGTTGCACCAATGTCATGCCGAAAAAATAAGGAAGGTCGTGCTGTTCCTTTGATTTCTGTGCTGCCTTGACGGCATGCAGTTGGTGAAGGCATTCGCTTGCGATGTCGATATCGGAGATTGTCTTTGATAAACTGAAAAAGCAATGCCTACTTTAGACACATGATTGTTACATTGTCAGAGCTTTTGTTCTTACGTTGCACCACTGGCCGCTATTCTTGGAACCTTGCGTGGCCTGTCAGTGAAAAACAAGAAAACTGAGTGACATAACGCCAAGAAAGGGAAGTATCGTAACATATAGCAAGTGCGAATGCAGGATAAAAAAAAAGCTGTCGTGCTTGTGTTGTCTGACCTACGAAGTAGATTGGTGCTGGGTACATGAATATTGTATTACAGCTAAAGAGTAAAATGAAACGTCCAACGTTTCACTTCGGATATTTTATGTTAAAAAAATTGCTGTGACCTGTCTGTCTCGGTGTTTGCAGGTGTTGCACCGGACGAAGATGCAGGCTGTTCTAGTGGTTCATCCAAGATGACTGTGACATAGTTGTCCTTGTCGACCTGGCCCTCCTCTGCGTTGCCACTGCTGCTGTTACTTGCAGGCACCGGACTCCGCTCACCTGATGCTCTATGTGAAACGTCGGAAGGATGAACTCGCGTGAAACATTTGTGATTTGGAGAAAGTAATATTTTATCAATGAGAAATAATTATTGTTGGTGAATGTCGCAAAAGCACGATAATATTACGAGATGAGATACTGCTTAAACTTTATTTTCTGAATGCACAAGTGGTGTTAACTTTATCAGATAACATGCTTTTGCACTGCAAGCCCTATTTGCTTGACTCATAAAAAGTGCACCTCACAACGTTCACTTTCACCACATTCATTCCTTCACCCGTTCATTTGATTGTTAGCGTCTTTGGTAGGCATGCAGAAAATGGCTTTTTAGGTGATAGCAAATGTTTTCATCATCTTCTTAGTACTACCATGCATTTTCCTGCTGGCAAAGTTATTTTGGTACCTTTCTTACAACTTACCGATTGGGATTGATGAATCCTACGTTTGTAGAAATGCTGGAAAACATTAACATTTTTTAGTTATGCTACAGCAATCAGGCCTTAAAAAATTTCGATGAGCAAGTTATGCAGTACGCTATGTTCTTTTTATAAACATTTACTAATCAAATATGTTAATGTCATCCGGTGTAATTGCTTCCTCATTGTAGTCTTCATGATTTTGTAAATAAAAGTATGCTGATTTACTTGTTAAGCTTATTTGACATCAACAATCAGTGAAGCCAGTGCATCATTTTGTAAATAAAAGTATGCTGATTTACTTGTTAAGCTTATTTGATATCAACAATCAGTGAGGCCAGTGCATCAGTAACTATGAAACGTTTACTTTGTGCTTTGCATGGTGTGTGTATGTGTTTACTGATGTGTCACTCTGAAAATTGCTAAACAGCATAACTACGAAGCTTAGAATCTTATGCAGTAGTGATCTACCATTCTATCAGCTCATCGTGGCTGCAATATTTGTTCTCAGCTGACGTATTTCGTTGTAGGGGCATTAATGAATTCTTGATTTGTTGTGCAGGTAAACAGTGATTTTCTTTTTAGCATGTGCAATTGTGGCCGGCAGTTCTGCATACAGGAGAGCATTATGTCTTTGTGTTGTTTTCTTTTTTGAAGTTGTGTACACTTTCATTCCATTGATTGATTTATAAAAAATAAAAAGGATCACAAAATTTGGCTTACATTGGTTCTTTGAGTATGGGACCCATCATGGACATCATTGCCTCAAAATGCACCCATTTAACATTGTGAACATCTGCAGCCCCTGCACCACTTTTCATGGAGCCCTTAATTTTGTTCTTGTTTTGTAAAGGTGTCTTTCAATTTCTTGAATTTCGCATGTGCTTGCATTCCTGTGAAGAATTCAGTTTACGTATTAGGCATGCTTTTCACATCCTTGAAAATTTTACACCAACACAATGTGAATGTCGCTAGGTTCACAAAAGAGTAAGTTGCTTGCATATATTTACGGGACGAAAGAGCAGCACGCAATGCACAAGACAATCTAAGTATGCATAGCTGTATGACTCGCTCGTTAAAATGCGCGCTCTTTTTAACCCTGCGCGTAGTGATAAATTTTTATTTCTGGATGGGAGGACCTGCTGCCGATTGTACCTGCTTTAGAAAAACACCTATGCTTTCATTACTTCTTTTTGGTAAGTATAGCCACACTCGCTCTATTCAACCAGCTAAGCAGCGTATTGGGAAACGTTTCTAGACCTGAAATTAGGTTGCTACCGTGTTCAATTGAGCACAAACGTGCTTCGAATGATGCGCCTTTACAATGCGTCAAGCCAGCACAAACGTGCTGCCTTTCGGTGTCAAATCAAATTCAACTCGTGCGGCACTCGTGAATACAACGCAGGGCAAGCAGGATGGTGAACAGACGTGCACAATGCCCGCGCTGTCTCGCCTGCAGCGTACCTGCATCTCTGAGCCCATCGTTCAATCAGCACGATGTCTGTCTAGCATTTCCGTTGTTGACATGAAACAGCGCACTGAAAAGCACGATCAAACGGCTAGTACGCGTGCGTTTCCACGTTCGTTGCAACGCGGACGAGAAGCATGAGTACTTCCACAGCACAAGGTGTCCGCGATAAGAAGCAAAGCAATATAGGCACATAAACTCGTACTTACCAGTCATTCCGAGCTCGTTTCCGATTTTCCTCCATAAGTCGTCCTTCAGCAAGCTGTTTTTGTGTTTTGGGTGACGTTTATCGTACAGGACGGGGTGGTTGCCCACCAATTCGATCAGCATTTCAGCTACGCGCACACTGCTAGACTGCGACATGACAAGCGAGTTGCTCTCGGCCGCTATTTCTTTGAGTTCCTCGGCTAGCGCCCCCTATTGGTTCGTGGCGAGCCGATTCGGCGGCAGACGCCGCAAAAATTGGTCCGAGAGCGATCGGCGCGGAGAGGGCCCTTTCAGTGGATCTCGCCGCCGCCGAACCGGATTCGGAGCACTTTCAGCGGCCGGAATGCTCAGTGTGAACGCAGCTTAAGTGACGCCGGGTCAGCCCTTTTGGTGTGTCGACTTTCACGAGGCGCGAACCTTCAGCGCCTCTGATGACGCCTGGGCACCACTGCCTTCCGTGTCCAAAGTTGCGCACCCACACCAGGTCTCCGGGCTGGAATCTGGAAGGCTGCGAATGACTCCGAGATAAAGATGGCACACAAGTGTCCAAGCGTGAACGCATTTGATAATTAAGCAGCAGTTCCCAAGGAGACTTTCCGCACTGTAGAGGCGTGCATCGGTAGCCTAGCAATACTCGTGCTAGTTTAACTTCGAGGTCGTTTACCATCGAGTGTTTAACTAGACCGTCCTTGATAGTGCGAACTGTGTGTTCTGCAAGGCCATTCGATTGCGGGTAATAAGGGGCGCTGCATAGATGCGTTTGGTTGTTATCTGTCATGAACTGGGCAAACTGCTGACTTGCAAACTGGGGCCCGTCATCAGACACTACAGTTTGCGGCAAACCAAAACGCGCGAATAATTCGTGAAGCCGTGTAATTGTGACTTCGGTAGTTGCTGATCTGATTGAGAGGGCCTCGATACACTTCGTGTGCGAATCGATGACTATGAGTAGCATGCGCCCCTCTATTGGCCGAGCGTAATCAATGTGAAGCCGGGACCACTTCATCCCTGTTGCTGGCCAACTGATAGGCTCCTGACGATGCAGCATTGCTTGAGCTTGTACACATGGCATGCATGAACGAGTGAGACTTTCGATCTCACCATCCAACCCTGGCCACTAGAACAACGTCCGAGCCAGTCTTTTCATCCCCTATGCTCCCTGGTGTGACCAGTGTAGCTCTGATAGCATGGGCTCCCGTGTCTTGCTGGGTATGATAACTTGATGACCCCAGTAGAGCAGACCTTCGGCGCTCAACAGTTCCAGTCTTCTGCAAAAATAAGGTTGGACATGACTGTCACATGATGAGAGGCGTTTCCTCCATCTAATACGTATGAAGTTTTGGACAATACAAAGATCTTTGTCCGTACTGGTAAGGGCCTTTAAGGCACCCACTGGCACGTATATACTGTCAAGCTGCTCCGTGGACAGCACGTATTCTGGCAAGGTTTCGGAGTGAACAACCTCTGGTGTCGGCACTGGCAAACGGCTAAGTGCGTCTGCATTGGTGTTTTGTTTCCCGGCCCTGTACTCAATACGGTGCCGGTGTTGACTTAGAGACAGAGCCCACCTCTGGATACGTGCCGACGCCATTGGAGGCACCGGTCGATCTCGTAGCAGGGTCACAAGTGGTTGGTGGTCCATCACCAGCACAAATTCGCGGCCCAACAGGTAGTCGCAAAACTTTGAGACTCCGAACACCAGCGCCAGAGCTTCCTTCTCGAGATGCGAATAATTTTATTCCGCACGCGTCAGTGTGCGTGAACGGAAAGCGATGGGCTTATCGACGACGCTTATTCGGTGCGAAATGAGGGCACCTGAACCCGACAGTGACGCATCGCATTCCAACCACACTGGTTGGTCGGGCTGATAATATGCCAGCACGGATGAGCTGAGAAGCATTCGTTTCACCTTTAGATAAGAATTTTCTTGGGTTGCACCCCACTTCCATTTACGCTCTTTTTCGAGCAGCTTAAACAAGGGGGCCAAGATCGCCGACATCTGGGGTAGGAATCGGTGATAATATGACAGCAGACCTAAAAACGAGCGCAGTTCGCTTACACTAGTAGGCCGTGGTGAATCGCGTATTGCAGCGAGGTTCTTTTCCAATGGGTGCAAGCCATCTTTGTCTATCCGGTGCTCCAAGTAGACAATTGAGTCTTTACAGAAGTGACACTTTTTTGCCTTCAGCTTGACACCGTTTTCCTGCAGATGGTGTAAGACATTCCGGAGAACAGAGTCATTACCGTCTTGACACTCAGCTATTAGTACATCGTCCAAGTACACCTGCACGACTGGAAGGCCAGCCAGGATGGTTTCTATGCGGCGCTGAAAAATCGCGGGAGCCGAGGCAACTCCAAACGGAAGACGGTTATAGCAGAACAGGCCCTTGTGCGTATTTATAAGGGCCAGCATCTTCGCTTCCTCATCCAAGGGGAGCTGGTTATACGCGTCCTTCAGATCCAATGTAGTGAAAAGCGATCCCTCACGAAGTGACGCGAAATATATTCGATGTTAGGTAGTGGATATTGCTCAGTTACGCACGCAATATTAATTGTGGTTTTAAAGTCACTGCAGATGTGAAGGGACCCATCTTTCTTTAGTACCGGCACTACTGGTGCTGCCCACTCTAAATGTGCTTTAGGTGACAATATGCCTTCACTCACTAAGCGTTTCAGTTCCCTTTCCACTTTCTCACGAAGAGCGTACGGGATAGGCCGTGCCTTGTGGGACTTAGGGTGGGCGTCTTCTTGAAGGTGAAATTTCATTGGAGGCCCCTGAATTTTAAGCCCAGATTAGAAAAGTGCAGGAAACTCTGTGCAGAGGCTGTTGCGAGCGACTGACATCGATTGGACTGTTCTGAGGAACTCGCTCGGAAGTATTGACAAGGCTTGGATTAAATTCCTTCCGCGAAGGCTGGGACCAGAACACTCTATAACGATCACGGTGGCAGGGACAGCTTTGCCTGAAAACCGAGCTTGACGCTGCAGTTCACCGACAATGGGCAGCTTGCCCAGGTAGCAGCTGAGAGTCTTTTTGCATTTTGATAAGCGCGGCCAGCTCAGGCAATGTTTCAGATACACTTTTGCGGGATTATTGAAAATGGCGATTCTGTATCAATGACCATA